TAAAGGACTTGGCAAAGTGCCAAGGAGCCGCACGCGACACGTGCGCTTACGGCGGACGTTATGAAGGACGGGAATCTGCGCCGCAAAAAGGTATAAGGCGGAGCATGGAGGAATTAGCGTGTTTCACGGTCCTGTATCTCCATTCCTGGGCATGTTTGGGCGGGGGACCACGACACATCGACAGCTGGGGGGCTGATAGTCTCATACACCCTCAATGTGTTTGAGCGTACCATGTGTCTTTAAGTGCCTTTAAGGCTAAAAGGGGCGAACGCCTGTTTGTGCGATAAAATCCAAGTACGGCACTTCTGCTCGGTAATCTTATTCTGGCACAAGGACCCTTTTTTGTGCCACCGCAGTTATTAGCGCCTCACTTGATAATGTCTACACCACATTCTCACCTCCGATATGCAAATGCGCGATCCAGGGATACTCATTAGTTCGGAATCTCCTGCCACCATAAGACTTGTGTACGGGACGACCTTCTGAAAAACAAGATTGAAGTATCCATCAGTAGTACATCCTGAAGGGAATTTTTGCGCTATCTGATGGTATAATTGCCGTTTCACCATTGCTTGATAAACCCCTTTTCCCAAGACTTTTTGAAGCATGTCAAAAGAGCAACTTCGGACGATATTTTTCTTCAACTACAAATTGGGTCAATCCGCAGTCGAGACAGCTCGACAAATTAACCAGGTCCCAATAGTGTTGGAGAAAGCACCGTGCGACAATGGTTCGACAAATTTCGTTCTGGAGATTTCAGCCTTGAAGATGAACCTCGTAGCTAAAGCAATACCTGACGAGGATTTGAAGGCGTTTGTGGAGGCTGACCCATCCCAAACAGTTCGAGAGATTGCAGAAAAGCTAGGCGTTGGCAAATCCACTGTTGCGGATGGTCTGAAACGCATTGGGAAGGTGAAAAAACTCGACAAGTGGGTGCCCCACAATTTGAGTGACCGGCAGAAATTGGCACGTCTCGAGGTTTCTTCTTCACTGCTTTTGCGCAACAGAAACGACCTGTTTTTGGGCCGAATTGTCACCTGTGATGAAAAATGGATCATGTATGATAACAGGAGACGTTCCGGACAGTGGTTGGATGCCGACGAACCACCGAGGCAATTTCCAAATCCTCACGAAAAAAATTATGGTCACAGTGTGGTGGTCATCGGCTGGTGTGATCCACTATAACTTTTTGTCACCAGGCCAAACCATCACAGCAGAGTCCTACTGTGAAGAAATCGAAATGTACCGAAAATTGCGTCAGCTGCAGCCAGCACTTGTCAACAGAAAGGGTCCGATTCTTTTGCATGACAACGCCCGCCCACACGTTTCACAAATCACTATCCATAAATTGAACGAATTGGGGGTTGAAGTTCTACCTCACCCGCCATATTCTCCAGACCTTTCACCAACCGACTATCACCTTTTCAAACATTTTCAGAACCAGCCACAGCAATGACGGCTACACCCTACACTAATAAGTTAAAGCATGGACGAGGTCACTCTTGAGTTCATATAGGAATCATACTTTCTTACTACTCGGCAATGCGAAGAACGCATGTGAGGATTCACGCCAAAAGATCATGGATCTCGAGCAGGGTGCGACTGTACCTAGCTTATTTACCAACGTCAGCAGCATCTAATTACCTCCTTCCTCCAATCCCTGCCGCATCCATCAATCAGAAAGAAGAAAATTCCGAAAACCGACGTCTGGTTGGAAATGGAGTTCACCTGTTCTTCTTGTCGTGTCACCGTAGTCCTCGTAAGAGTGGAAATGGGAAGCTGTGCAGAATGTGGGCGTTAGTTCAAGCTACCAATGGTGACTAGCTCGCCTAGCTCGCAGATTCGAGGTCTCTTTCAGCGAAGGAAAAAATTTAAACCGAAAATTGGCCAAGGTGTCGCGGGACTTTATTTCCAACCTAATGAGCGTGGCGTTATATTCGACCGCTGGACCAATTCAGTTCCAGTTAAAGGATAATTGTTCATGATGAGCAGCAGAAGCAGCTGTCGTCGAGCGATACACCACAACATTGCCGAACCAGCCTGGCTTCGCCGGGTGCTCTTGCTTCAGTCTCAGCTCAGATTGCTAAAATGCGCGATTTGTGCAGATATATCAATCCCAGGTCTTGATTGTGATAACATCCTCCATATATAAGACAACCATTTAGCGCACTCCGAGCCATTG